ATGGCATAAATCGGGTAGTGAACCCGTTCGGGGTTTACGTGGTGTTGGTTTCAAGCTAAGTTCCACTAATCAATATGACGTAGGGGAAAAATCATTAACTAATTTATCAGTTCCAAAAAGCAATGGTGATATTACTACAAAATTGTATGTAGATACAGCATTCCATATGTTGCAACAATCATTAACTAATTTAATAAACGTAGATATGATCGATGTGATGAAGAAGATTATTCATGAAGAAGTATTTAGCATAGTTGGTAGAAGAACTTATGATCTTGAACAAGCAGATCGTGATAAGGAAAAATGTAAACAAACCTTTATAACACTGAATGGAAAGTTGATTGAGCTAGAAAAAAAAATCAAAAGATCGTTACTACGTATATAAACATGCGGACTTAAAATCTAGTAGAACAGTTATTCGAAAATATGAGTGCGATAAACAACACAATTGATAAGTTTGGTCGTCGAGGAAATAAAGTGAACGATCCAGCAGTTCGTGGGTTACCTGGAATAGGTTTTAAGCTCGATGTCAATGACCAATTTGATATGGAGGGCAAGTCCTTAACTAACGTATTAGAGCCAAAAAATGATTGTGACGCAACCACCAAAAAATACGTTGACAATACAGTAATACAGCTACGACAAACAATTGCGAATATGCTAAATGGTGAAATACATAATTTAATGGTGAAGATTATCGATCAAGAAATAGATAAAGCCATTCCTACGGAAACTCAACAACTAAAGCTAGCAATTCTGGATAGACAAAAGTGTATGCAAGGGCTTGAAGTGATGGAAAAAAGGATTAGTCATTTGGAATTTAAATTTTCTTGAAGACATTGTATTGGTGATGAGAAGTTCAAAATAGTTGTAGTCGTTATATTATGATGCTTTAGTTAATAAATAAATAAATAAATAAAACAAACTGCTCACTTAAATTAGATAGTTTTATTTCAGGTAAATTTAAACAATATCAGCTAAATTAATCCATGAGTTATCGGATTCCGGAAAACCCAACCATTTAACAAACAACTGATCCATTGAATTTTTCTTTCGACGACGAATTATTTTCTCAATTAAGTATACATGAGGATTCCTGGTTTTCTGTAATTCGGCTTCATAAAAACATCCCTTAATGATTTGTCCATCCAAAGATTCTAAAGCATATGTTGGTGGATTTGTGATCTTGACCTGGATAATTTTAAATAATTCTGTAGACCATGATGGAGTATATCCTTTTTCGAACAAACTCTTATATTTACTAATGCGTACAATATCACCAACATCAAATTTAAAAAATTTGGGAGCAATTTTTGGGTTATCATAGATGCTTAAATTTGTGTGCTCTGTTACATCTACTGGTTTCATTCCTATGGTGCGATGAATAGTGTGATTATAGCTCTTAGTAACTTTTGGTAGAAGTTTCAACCACCTATATGTACCTCTTGCAGAAAATTCCTTATACAAACGATTTTTTATTGTTCTGATAACTCGCTCCACGATTGCTGCTTTTTTCGTGCTATATGTGGAATAGTGATTTATATGAAATCTATCCATTAAACTCCTGAATTGTTGGTTGTAAAATTCGGTACCATTGTCACTTTGTAGGTTGTTGGGTGAGTATTTTGCATTCCTGATAATACTTTCCATAGCTTTAGTAACTTCGAATGCAGTTTTAGTTTTTATAGATTGAGAATATACATATTTCGAAAAACAGTTTATGCATATCAAAATATATCGATAACCATCATTTTCATTGGCATATTGTTGCATTTCTATTAAATCTATTTGCCATAAATCCCAATAACCCTTTATTATTGTGCGCCTTCTCCGAAAGTTTTTTCGTGATGATCTATGCAATTCATTTACAACCGCCCATTTTATAGGTGTGGGTTCCATATCTATTCAATGAATGTTCAGTAACTACTGATAATTATAATATTCACCACACCTTTAATAAACTATACCTTCTTCTCTTAATTCTTCGATGATTGAAATTATTTCATTATCATGACCTGTGTGACCAACTGTTTTTGATGCACACAGAAGTCGCAACCGATTTACTAGTTCTTTCGGTTTATTCCAATAGACATACTCTATACGTCGCTTGGATAATAATTTATTTGATGGTATTTTACCACCCTTGGTGTGCAGCCCACTACCTTGAGTTGGTTTAAATAATGGATCTAACAATTCACTAAATTTGGGCCACCTTGATGTTCTTATTTTTTTATCTTTATTATAGTTATGGTTCATAGCATGAGTACGCTTCAATATTTCTCTATATGTTTCCAAAGTGTTATCCGATAACTTAGTCAAATTATCTAGAACTTTTGGTTTTTTTAAAAAAAGTAAATCATACAATTCATTACTTCCTTTGAAAGATCCGATTTTTTCATTATTTCGCCATAAATCAATATTACCAGAATTAAATTTTGCTTCAGCATCTCCAATGAAATATTTGTTTTTGTGTTTTTTCTCTGTCCTAACTCCATAGACTGTGTCGTATTCGGATGGTTTATTATATAGTCCCTCAATGTATATCTCTGGTGAATTTTCTTCGTATGAAGCAACAGAATTCTCTTCATCTGAATCGCTACCATCAAGAATACCCTTCCACTTTCGATGGATAGGTGTAAAAAAGTTACTTGAGATATCTAATTCCGTCTTTTTTTTCGAAGTGGGTCTATCAGACTGTAAAACATTTTGTAGTTTTTGTTTCTCTAAGGATTGAGACATAGAATTGAGGGGTTTTGTTACCGGCTCATACATCTTCTCTAACATCAACTTGTCATCTGCTTGCATGGCTTTAATTTCTCTAAATTTCTTTCTCACGGCTTCGGTCGCTTCAATCAACTCATTTTTCAAATTCAGATCCTCACTCATGGTGTTGTCGTAGTATGGTTTTATGGTGAACTAATAAAAAGTTACATCAATTTAGTGATATATAGGATGTGAAACCTTTACGATATCGTCCCGAACTGCAATCACTGTCTTTATCAATTACGAGAAACCCATATTTATCGCTCCAGCAAAGAGCACACATTTCCAGGAATTTTTGGAAAGTCATATCAGGAGCTACATGATCAGAAAAAATATGTCGCAAATTCATCTCATCTTGTTTAAATAAAGCGATAAAATTAGCGTTGTCTCGTACAAGTTGTTTTGGAACTCTGGAATAAGTCTGCGCTAAGTAGAAGGAGTCCACATTCTTATGACGCCCCATACTGAAGTATGACCTTATAACATCCTGCTTTTCACACATAACATCATCAAAAATGAATATGGAATTGGGTTTTGCCTCTGACGGTTCAACAATATTGGTGGTATCACTAAAAGTGTAAAATCCAAGTCCTTTAACAGTCGCCATAACTTTTCTAAGATATTCATACTTTGGTTGGTATAACGATTTAGAATATATATAAATGTTCTCAAATCTTAACCCAAGTGGATGAGTTAATAAGGAAATCATAACATTAGTCTTGCCACAGTTTGATGGTCCAATAAGTAGTCCCCGAATTGATGTGGGAAAAGTATCTCCATGACGTCTTTGTTTATTCCCTTTCTCGATACCATAACCAATTTTTTCATCCAAGTTGTCTACTCGAATTTCATAAGGCAGTTGGATAATTTTCATATTTATACACAAACGAATACACACATATGCGATATATTTATATATGTATATTAGAATAAAATTCCTATTCAGTTCAATGTTATCAATCAAACGAAGTGGTCGACTCAGTAAACGTCTTGAAACTGGTGGTGGACTAGTGAATTCTATAATTAATAAACTACCATTAGAATTACATTTACCAGGAGGGTATCAGTATTGCGGTCCAGGAACTAAATTAAAGAAAAGATTGAGGAGAGGAGATTCAGGAATTAATATTTTAGATATTGCATGTAAAAAACACGATATTGCTTATTCTGGAAACAGTGATATAAGTCAACGACATCGAGCCGACTATCAGTTGGAACAAAGCGCTTGGGAACGTGTCAATTCCAAAGACGCTGATCTCGGAGAAAAAGCTGCGGCTTGGTTAGTTACAAACACTATGAAAACGAAGCGAAAACTGGGTATGGGTCACCAACCTAATTTGAAAATAAATAAGCGAAAGAAGAAGAAAACAGCTAGAAGAAAATCCAGTATTAAAGTTCGCAAAGTAGCTTTTGGATCTGCTCTATCCAAACCTATTAGAAATATTTTGAAAAAAGAAGTTCATAGTAAATTTATAGATAAGAAAAATCTTGTAAAATCAGCTAGAGTAGCACTGCTTGCGGCTCGTAAATCATTGAAGACAATTGGTGGAAAAAGGAAGGTCCGCATGCCAAGAATAATTCCGATACCAAAAGTTGGGGGAGTTCTCCCCCTACTCCCGATCTTTGCGGGTTTATCGGCTTTAGGCTCTCTAGCAGGAGGTGCGGCTGCTATTGTTCGAACAATCAAGGAAGTATCGAATCTGAAAAATAGTAACAAGAAATCAGATGAAATGGTGATTGGGAAAGGATTGTTTCTAAAACCATATCGAGCAGGATATGGACTATTCCTTCAACAATCAAAAAACTAGATATCAAATCCCTACCGCAAAGAGCGTTGACGAATATCGATCTAGAAATATATGCGAAAAGAGAAAAAATACCATATTTTCGCGGTATATTTATGCGAGATACTTTGCCAATGAATGGTCCAAACAAAAATGAAGCAGCAATAGTTAATTTGGATAGTATTAGTGGTGTGGGAACTCATTGGGTAGCATATCGAAAAACAGGCTCTATCGCCATTTATTATGATAGTTTTGGTGATTTACCCCCTCCACGAGAACTCATAAATTATCTGAAAAAGATGCGTAATGCTGTCAAGTATCTCTATTATACATACGAGCGCCAACAAAAATTTGGTACAGTTTTGTGTGGACATTTGTGCTTAAAGTTTCTCGTAAAACAGCAGTAGGGTTAAAATGTTTAAGTCAACAGATAAATGTGTCTCTCAATTTCTTATGGATTTCTATAAGCTCGGCAGCTTTATGAACTTTAGTAGAAAACAATTGGAGCAAATACCTAAAGAAGTTTTACTTGCGTGTGCTCCAGAAGAAATAGCATTGATATGGAACAAGTTACCAGAGCACCTCAAGAAGGATAAAGATATTATACAATACCAATACTGTACAGATCATGATGAGACTAGAGGTTCTGAGGATGTTATAGATGGACCACCCCCAAGAAAGCTATTTTGTTGTTATTGTAATATTAGAGATGTACAAATTAATGCTGGGGAAAAGGAATCCAACGATAACTTTTTAAACAAGTTTTGTAAGTTACAATAAAAACAATCAGTTGTGTATGGTTGCTATCAGTCATGTCTTACACATTCACCCTATCAGGACATTCTAGTGAGCTTAGTAGTGAGTTTTACCCACCAATCGATCTGGATTCTGGAGCTAAATATGGTTTGGCCTTGTTAGGATTTTATTCATATAATTCAATTTTCAATGTCGACGAGAGTAACAACTGTTTTGGATATTCCAAAAATGTCAATGGACCTTACGAAACAATAAGAATACCTCCTGGAGCCTATGAGATTTCCACCATCAATGATATTATGTTAGATGCTCTGAAATCAGCATCAAAGATCAAAAACAATAATATTTTCTCATTGAATGCCAATAACAATACTTTGAAATGCGAATTGATATCTACACTCAACTTGAATCTGGATTATCCAAATTCGATTGCCCAAATATTAGGATTTGAGAAGAAAACTTATGAAAAAAATTTGAAGCACGTGTCCAGCTTACCAGTCAACATTATGAAGGTTAGAATAATTCGGGTAGACTCCAACATAACGTCTGGTGCATTTATAAACTCCGAAGCTTCACATACAATATTTGAGTTCGACATAGATGTTGAACCAGGTTATAAGCTGAGCAAGGAACCAACTAATATTATATATTTACCGATTATTCCTGAATCACGTCAGTTTATAGACAACATTACACTTCGCATCGTGGATGATACTGGTAGTCTTATAAACTTTCGCGGTGAAAAAATTATTGTTAAACTAGAGTTAAGGAAGCTAATCTAATAAATTAAATAAATAAAAATGGGGTTTTGTTTCATTCGCACTGTGAATAATCCTCAAAAACAGAATGAAGATATAAAGTTCAATAAAAATGTAGTTCATAGTGCCAAGAATGTCATTCTTCATTCAAACGCCAAACGCAGAAGATCTAAGCTTAATCAAAAAGACTTATCGTTTCTTAAATCCTTGGGTTTAAGACTTAAAGTGAAATGTTAACTACCAGTGAAAAAATCGAAATATTCGACGCTCCAATTTTGGACAATTCTATAACAAGCTCACAGGAATATACCTATAAACCATATGGGGCTCCATCATTTAAAAATTCAGACGAAATCCGCATTCCTATACATTTTCAAGATTTGATATTAGATGTGTCTGAGAGCTTCATTTACATCGAGGGGAAGTTCACTCCTTCCGATGGGACTAAAAAGTGTCATTTATCAAATAATGCACTAGCATTTTTATTTGATGAAATCCGTCTCGAAATGTGTGGCGAACAACTTGCTGTAGTTCGAAAACCAGGTATCACTACAGCTTTAAAAACGATGGTATCATATGGAACACAAAATACAAAATCACTATATTCATGCGGATGGGGTCTTAGCGATACGAAGCGTCAAATTTGGGACCCTGTAAGCATGGTTTTCTGTGGAAAATTACCATTGAAATATTTAATGGGTTTTGCAGAAGACTACCAGAAAGTAATATTTAATGTTAAGCAAGAGCTCATACTTATTATTGCACGCACATTCAATAATTCCTACATAGGACAAGTAGATGCAAATATTACAATAGATAAAATTGAGTGGAAGATAAGACATTTAATTCCAGAGGATAGGTTGAAGTTAAAAATCCTATCTCGCATTAACAAAGGTGGAAATATGGCCGTAGTTCCTATGGCGTTTAGATCGTGGGATTTGTACGAGTTACCATCTTTACGACAAACACAATCAGATGTGTGGGCCATACGAACTTCAACTAGTTTGGAAAGACCTAGGTATATAGTTTTAGGCTTCCAATATGCAAGTTATTCAGACAATCGGGAGAAAGATGCAACGCTGTTTACGCCAGCAAATATTAGTGATATCAGGGTATACCTAAATTCTTCAGTTTTTCCATATGAAAGATGGAATTTGGATTTTTCAAAAACCCTATTTACTCCAGCCTATAATAGCTATGATCGATTTCAAAAAGCTTATTATGGAAGAGAATGTAGTGACCCTATGATGGATATTGAAGAATACATGCAAAACCCAGTTTTTGTAATAGATTGTTCACATCAAGTAGAAGCAATAAAAAACTCAACTGTGGATATAAAAATTGAATTTTCTTCAAGAAAAACTTTTCCTAAAGACACTAAAGTGTATGCATTAATTATTCATGATTCATTCTGTACATATAATATTTTGAATGGCTCTGTTATCAACAAGTCATCCATTTAATTTTTTATTGTATTATAACGATCTAGTTTTTTACACTCCAATCGCTCGAAATAATTCTGTGTTCGCATATTTTATAAGAATAAAATATAAGTAGGTAGGTAATAAAGTATAGTTTTAGGATAATCAACAAAATTTAACTTCATGTATCTTTATATTAGCCATAGGTTGTTTAATTATATTTATCCAATAAAAATTATTTATAAATGTAATAAATCTATTTTTTCTTTCACCTTATTCCAACCACCACATAAAGAAATAAACTATTTCAATGATAAAGATCGTTCATCAACGAAATGCATTATTCTTTGAAAAATAATACATTTCATTCCTTTCCAAACCAATGGATGTTTTTTTCTAAGTGGTTTAGAAATAATAAAGAGCTGTCATAGATTTTCACAAAGAAAACACCGCCCTTCTATGAAAATAAAGTATTTCAATGACTGAGGATTATTCTTTTGTAAAGAGGATTATCCTTATCGTAACAGGTATAAATTTCTATGGAACGATACTATTTTAAAGCTCAAACTTTGTCCTATTGTAACAAAAAATCCATCATATCAAAATTGCTCAAACTCTGTCCTATTGTAACAAAGAAACCCATAATTTCAAAATTGCACAGGTGCCCACTTTACAAACTTTTGTTGTGAAGAAATGGTACCTATCAAACTAGAATTTTTTTCACAAAGAAAACCTCCTTTTGTGTAGATTTTAACCATTCAAGGTAGCCATCGAAAAGGCAACACTGTAAAAAATTTGAGGGTCTTAAATATTTTCTTACAGATTATTGAGATTGGGATTTGGCAACGCTTTATAAAATTTTTATTAGTACTCTGACATTCGAACATATAGGCTGTACGAATAGCATAATGAACGCCGGTCAAAAACCAGTAGCAATTGTGAGACCCTATTCAATTAATAAAAAACGAATTTGTATGTTGTGTGGAGAAAGATCAATTGGAATAAATGAATCAGGTTTTTGTGAAAGGTGTGAAAATCCCGTAGTGAAGAGATTGGTGGAAGTTGCAAGAAATGTGTTTGAGACACAAAATTTTGCGGCTGCCCCAAAATCCATTGTTTTGCGAAGGTGCAGGTCAATAGCGGTCAGAGTAGTGATAGAAAAACTTAGTGAACCTTACGGAGGTACTTCAAAACTATTTTCTCGGAAAATACGAATAAAAATGGGTATCTTCTCAAACTTTTCAGAACTTGTTGCAGTTCGAATATTTTTTACCTTAAAAGTTTTATTCTATTTTATTGGAGACTATTGGGATTTAAAAATTTCCATTCCATTCCTTTTCAAGACAAGTGTTTTTGTTTTAAAATTTGATATTTTATTCAAATATACATACATTCAATACATAATACGTAAACTAACCTTATAATGAATTTTATTTCTATATACATATTAAATATATTACATTAAATTTCCTATTTCCTAATATCTATAGAATTAAATTATTATTAGGTTATTAATAACAATTTAATTCCATAGATCCATAATACTATTTTTAAACTCTATACTATTTCTATTTAGATCTTCCAATCTCCCCTGCTTCACCTGCAGATCCACTTTTAGAAGTTCGGTTTGCTCTCGGGCCTCTAAAACTTCTTTCGCCGCTCGCTCTTCCTTCTGTCTAGCGACTTCCATCAGTCTTTCCACTTCCACCACATCGCACTGTAGGTGGTGTAATTGTTGTTCAAAGACCTCCTTACATTTTCGAGTCTCCATAATGAGTTTTTGATGCTCCGGCATCTGTAACCTTTTTCTCAGTATGGAGACTCTCCTGTTTTTTCTTATAACAATCTTTGGGCTTCTTGCTGATGGAAGTGGTGGAAGAGGCGACATCACTTGGACTTCAGGTTCGATTTCAGGTTGAGGCTCGAAGACTGTAAAATTGTTTGTTGGCGGCTCCAATACTGTTTGTATTGGTGAAGGAGCTTCTTCCGGAAATATAACAGGATTATTTGCAACCAAATCCTCGAAATCGTCGAGGAGGTGTTGGGTATCCTCAGGAGTACCCATGTTGGCGTCTAGGGTTACACTTGAAAAAATAAGGTCGTCGGAAAACATTCTGGTGAAGGACTATTTGGAATAAAATATTCTGATGTCGGAAGACTGATAAAAATTCGATGGTGTGTTGACTTTTTATATGATATTTTACACCACCGCCCACATAAAAAATACCCCCTCAATTTTCATTTTGATTTGCTCACAGACACCCCCACCAACTCACCTATCACTCTATTCACGTAAAATGTATTTTTTAACATCGCATGTTTTACTCACAACTTTTTTTATGATATCTAGAAATACTGATTGACCCTGAAAAAATATTGTATAGATACTCCACATCATTTCTAATGAATAGGGAAAACGAACAAAGAACGGATTTATTTCTTCCAAGCCCATGGTTCTCAAGAAACACCTGTTGGTTTACAAAGTTGGTTTTACTTTATAAAAAGCTTTTATGGTTGAATTTATTACTGAAAAGGTTCTATACCATAAGTAAAAATTGGTGAAAAAATTTAACACCTGGATAGACTCGTAACCTTTGAGTCTGATGTAAAGAGCGATAGTGTATGAAAAAATCTATACCTACTTCACCATTAAAATCCGATATCTTTTTTCGATACTTAGTAATAGTTGTGATTATCCATCTACAGAATATTCTTTATATAAAAAACACAATTAAAACTCTTATAATGTGTATTGTTTATGAAGTAAAGCTAGCATTGCAAGAGAGAATTATCGTTCATCGACGGATACGCGATCCACGATGTGCGATCAA